TTTAATTACATCCAATGTTTTCTTAAATGGCTTCTAAGTGTGAGGCCATCGTTGCCAGCTTAGTAGGTTACTGATCCACTCTGGTCCTGGGTGAGAGAATCAGAGGACTGAGCTCTGTCCATCATCATAATTGTAAGTTTTCCAGATGTTCTTCCATGGAGGTCATGGGTTCTGGAAGGTTCTGTGGTCTTGAGCTCCCCCCTTGGCCTTTATCTTCCAGCTCACAATGGTCTGTACTCCTTGTCTTGCACATTCTTCCAAGGTTAGTGACCTCCTGAAGCGAGACTTGAGGAGTGTATCACCATAATAATGGCAAGAGCGGACCCCTGTGGAGTTTCCTATGCACCTGGACCAAGTTCCAAGTGTCTGTTTATTTGCTCCTACAGCAGCCCCAGGGGCTTAGTACCTATTAGCCCTGTTTACAGAAGGGGAAACTGAGGGGCTGTGAGGTGTGGTGATTTGCTCTAGGCCGTAAGTAACTAGCTAGATGGCCTCCTCATCTGCTGGTGTGAAGCACGAGGTTCCAGGCCAGCCCCGGGGGTCCCAGCATGCGCGGTGCTCCTGACCGGCAGCACCTTCCCTGTGTGCAGAGTAGCTGCTGCCTGATGGGTTGCCAGCTGCTGCTCCAGCCGGAAGGAGAGGAGAGAGGGGCGGCTGGTGGTTTCAGGTTTCATACATTTCTGAGACAGGTTGCCCTGTGGCCCCATTTGTCTTGGGGCTTCTTTTGGGGGGTTGGGGAAGAGATTAAGAGGAAGAGGAGCAGTGAGCAGGGGGCTTCTGAGAGTGATCACCGACAAGCAGACCTGCCTAACAGGAGTGGCCAGCATGCCCGGGGGCAGGGGAGCGTGGAGGGAATGCGTTCCTTGTCCAGTTTGGTGTGTGGCCAAGAACTGAGTGTAAGTCAGCCACATCTCCTTTAAAGCCGCCCAGGGAAAGGCCCTGCTGGGGAAGGCAGCAGGTGTGGGAGGCTGTGGGGCTCGGTGTGCTTCTGTGCTGGCCTTGGGCCCTGCTTGCTGGGGGCAGCAGCAAAGGGAATAAATGGCCCATGGCTAAGAGCATATGTGGTGGAGAGAGAGTTCAAGGCAGCAAGGAAACCTATGCAGCCCCCAGAGCCAAGACGGGGGGGGGGGGGGGGGGGGGCGGTGAATAATCAGAGGGAGCAAGAAGCCCGCTGGAGGAGACGGAAGGGCTTCTGCTTGGAGGAGAAAGTCTGGGGCCAAAATGTGTCCCCAGAAAAGAAGACTGGTCTGTGTCTGTGTTGTAAGCCTCCATTTTCTGGTCCTGCAGGTGTATGTACAGTGTCATCAGGGCACTCACCTGGGTGTTGTCGGCCTCCCAAGTCCCTCACTCGCCCATCGCTAAGCAAGCATTTAGTGAATGCCGGTGTAACGAGTGCCCTGTGTCTGGTGCCAGGGCTCTGGGAATGTGGAGGGCATGCAGAGCCTAGCCCCGGGCCTTAAGAACTGTGTTTTAACGGAGAGGCACGGAACTTTGTGTGAAGCCGGTGACTGCATGGGGTGGGCCCCAGGATGTCTGAGGCCACACTGAGTCGCAGAGATAGAGTGCCCAAGGACACTGGCGAGGGGGCAGTCAGTGGATGTGGAAGAGGCAGGATGTGGGGGGAGGGGCTCGAGGAGAAAGGGGAATGTCTTTTGGAGAGGAAAGGGAAAGACGGCAAGGAGAGACAAGGCCCTCAAAACCGAACTTGCAGGTCACAGATGGAAAGATGGACATTCAAGCTTCTAAGGACAGCCTGGACTTGGTTTGTTCTGCAGCCACAGCTGCTGGCCGGTGGGAGCAGCAGGGACAGGGTCCCGGATACTCCGTGAGTTCGGGCCCAATGCCGGCTCTGGACGCCCTTAACGGACAGGCAGGCAGGTGCTGGCCTGGGTGCGGGCAGCCAGGCAGGAGTGCTGGAGGGCGGCAGGAATGTGTTAACAGCAGCAGCTGGCTGCTATCTGATCCTGGCCCTGCAGTGACTTCCGCTTCCCCCATTGTTAGCATACCAACCAGACTGTGAACGAATGAATGAGTGGATAGAAAGGGTTCCTGGGCAGGCTGTCGCCATCGGAATAAAATAACCCCAGCGCGCTGCTCTCCAGGGAGCTTGCCCTGCCAGCCTTTGACATTAGGAAAACCCCAGGAGGGAAATGGCCATAGAGAGTAGACTAGACCTGAAGCCCAGTGGTTACTGGTGTTTGAGCTGGGACAGAATACCTACCTGCTTTGCAGAACGACCCCCAAACGGCTGAACACAGTGGAAGTTTATTTCTCTCCCCAGTGTAGGTCCGCAGCACTGCTCCATTCACTCAGGGACCATGTCTTCCCAAGAGCTCTGCCATCTTCTTGAGCACTGGCTCCCACTGCTAGTGGGTACCTGAATCCCCCGAAGGCTCATTCAAACAGATTGCAGGGCCCCACCCCCACAGGAGTGGGCCTGAGAATTTGCATTTCTAACAAGTTCCAGCTGCTGCCACTGCTGCTGGTCCAGGGGCTGCCTTTGAAAACCACTGCAGTTCTCCATGGGAGCGTCTGCAACCAGCCCGGAGATGAGGGGTGACAGAGCAGATGGCAGTCACAGTGGCTCCGCTTAACGCCACCAGAGCCTGAGAAATGGGGTCCTCTTGCTGGCCCAGGAGGAAAATAAAGGCGTGTTGTCTCTGCCACAGTTAGAAAGGGCAGCACAGCCCTGGCGGGAGCTCAGTGGTTAGAGCTTCAGCCCAAGGATCAAAGGGTTATGGGTTCGGTTCCCAGCCAAGGGCATGTACCTTACCCCTGGTTGGGGTGTGAGCGGGAGGCAGCCCCCTCCTCTCTTTCTCTCTTCCTTCCCCTCCCCCTCGCCTCCCCCACCCCCTCCTCCTTTTCTTCCTCTGTCTAAAAATCAGTGGGAAAAATACCCTCAAGTGAGGATTTAAAAAGGGGGGGGGGGCGCAGCACAGGTCCTGTTTGCCCCTGATTTCTGCCTGAAATACTAGATTTCAAATGTGTGGAGAAAGTCAACTAGGTTTTGCATCTACTTATGCCTTTCAAGAAGGCAGAACCTTAGTGGGGCTCAATTTCTCACTTGTCCCCCTAGTACAGGTGCAAGTCATTTGAGACGCAGGTTCCTGCGATGGGTGCTCCCTGGCACCTCCTGTCCCACCCTTGTCTCTCGGCCTAGGAAGAACTCTGCCAACACTGGTCAGGTGGTTGTTGTGCAGGATGGACTTCGTTGTGAGTGTTCCAAGCTCCTTCTGGTGTCTTTCTTCATCTTGGTTGCTGGATAACCCTGCTTGCTTATGTAGGGCAGGGGGTGTTTTTCCGTCAGAATTGTAGCCACGTGACTAGGCATGTCATATAGTTCAGGACTGACTTGGGGGCAAAATCGGTGGGTCAGTCAGCAGGTACTTATCTGTCTTCACTCCAGAAGCTGCAAGAGATCACGTTCCAAGGCCATTTTCAATTAACTTATCTAGTCATAGAGTCCAAAGCAACCCAAATACAATCAGTGAGGGCTGTGTGAGGACTGCAAATGTATCCGCCAGCTGTCCAACTATAGAGCCCGGCTCCAGGTAGAGGGTAGCCCCGGCAACTGTGTTCTGCTCGGCCCACTCCTGGAGCATCAGGCCCAGCTCTGGGAACTGCAGACAAACACACGATAGTGACGATGGCGGGTGGCCTGTGGGAGGCCGGCCTGGAGGAGAGGGAGGGTAGGTGGGCCGTCTCCGCCATCATGACCTTTGCAGAGTTGGGCTGTGGTTGTGGGAAGAGGGTCGAGGTGATGTGTGATTCTGGGTGGGGGGACATTGTTGGAGGGAGTGAGGTGGATCTGGGACTTGGGGTGTGGAAGGAGAACTTTTGAACCATCGTTACATTCGGAAGGCACAGTGCCCTGCCTTGCACAGGTCCCAGGCCTGGTCGCCTGGAGTTTGGCCGATTCCATGTTGAGGCATTGTCTTTGGGAGAGAGGTTGGACTAGGAGAAACGAAGTGTCTGTGTGCACTAGAAGTCAGGAAGGACCTTTCATGTGGAGCAGGTCTTCAGCCACGCTGGGAAAGCCAGGCAGGACCTGGGTGGACAGGAGGAGGGGAGGGGTTCATAAAATATACGTGCATCAGGCTTCCGATCGTACACCTCAAACTTAGCCAGTGTTACATGTCAATTGTACGTTAACATAGCTGTAGATCATAAAAGGAGAGGGGAAGTTATTTGAAAGGCACTGGCGGTGGGCACAGTGGAGAGGCCAGAGGAATGACCTGAGTAAGGTCTTGGCAGCCAGGATGGGGGCTGGGCCAGGCCTGGCAGAGGCAGCACTCTGGAAAGTGGAGTCTGGCTGAGGACTGTGGGGTCTTCCAGGGTGAAGGGGACCTGGAGGTGGTTCTGGAAGTTTGGGGGGGATGTGCCGAGACGGGGTGTTGGAGGAGAGTGAGTGGGACGAGGGATGAATTTAAGAGCCGGCTTGCAGGAGAAGGGTCCTGCAATGTTGAGCCCGTGGTAGTTCTGGCATCCGCGCAACGGCGACTACGAAGAGGCCTCCCTGCGGCTGCAGCTTCGAGGAGGTGGTAAGGACAGGGCCTCTCCCGGTAGCTGCTGCTCTGCCTGGGCTGAGGGCCGTCCTGTTCATGTTTCTGGCCCTGGCAGATGGGTGGAATGGGGCAGGGCAGGCTCAGGGACTGCTTTCCTCTGAGTGAGCGCCCACTCCTGTGCTATTCTACCCGGCCTGCCCGTGTCAGGAAGCCGGGCCTTCCCTCTTCGATCGGGCCCTGAGCTCCTGTTACAGCCAGCTGTGCTGGGCTCTCACGGGAGTCCTCCCTTCTGACCCTCTCAGCACCCCTGTAAGGCAAAGACTCCTCGCGTCTCCTCGAGGTCAGGGCCCTGCCCCACGGTGTCACAGTGAAGCTGAGTGACAGGTTCGGCCCTGTCTGTTTTCAGACTCCACATCTGGAGCTCATTCCAGCGAACAGGATCTTTCCTAGCTCTGGACGCAGAATCCACGTTCCTTACTTAATGCGACCGCCTGCGCAGGGGCAATCGGGAGGTCAGCGTTAGGCAAATGTGCACTAGGAGCGTGAACTGGAATCGTAACAATGGCCTGTACCGAGGGCCCGCTCGGCCACGCCCGCAGGTGGATTCGGGGGTTCGTCACTGAATTTTACAGAGGAGGCAACTGAGGCGTGGAAAGGCCAGTCCCAAGCAGGAGTCAGAGGTTCGTGCCCGCACACTCACCTTGGCAGCCAGGGCACCTCAGCCTCTCACGTGGCTCAGTGTGGACGGTTCTGTCTGTGCTTTTGAATTTTCTCGGGAGGCTGCCTCGCGGGAGAGAAGGACTGTCTCGGCCTGCGCTGTCGCCCTGGACTAAGGCTGCGGCAGGTTTTTGTGACTAGCTGGTCCCAAGGGAGGTGGTCAGAACTGGGCGGGCCCTCGTTGTCCTTGTGGTCCAGGTTGGTTGAGGCGCTGCCTCCTGCTCTGTTTGTATGTTCTGCTGCCCCATTTTAACTCTGAGCAGCCTGGCCAGGAGGTAAAGGGTGAGCTCCCAGTCAGGAGAGAAGTGTTTTCGGGCCCATCGAAACGTGGAGCCCTGGCCGGCTAGTTAGCGCATTGTCCCCCGTATGCCAAGGCTGTGGGTTCCATCTCTGGTCAGGGCACATACAAGAAACAACCAATGAGTGTATAAGTAAGTGGGCCAAAAAAATCAATGTTTCTCTCTCTCTCTCTCTCCAGTCAATCAGTCAATCAATCAAAAACGTAACAAGGAAAAGCTGAGGGCAGGCTCTGAGCTGCGGCAGTCAGTCAATCAATCAAAAAAGTAACAAGGAAAAGCTGAGGGCAGGCTCTGAGCTGCGGGCGCTGAGCTGCTGTGGCTCCTCCTCCCCCTTAGGGGGCGCTGTGGAGACCTGATGCCTCCTCTCTGAACACTTCCCACTGTGGGTGAGAAAAGCAAGCACAGATACAACTGGGACCGCACGTCCTGTGTTTAAGTTTTCCATTCCGGTTGTTTCCATGATGCTTATTCCTCAGATTATGTGACGACAATTTAAGTTAGTTTAGCGTAGATGAAGAATTTATTTCTGTAGAGCTTCAGGGTTAAAACCCCTTGGTTGTTTTTGATTCTTTGGAAGATGGTAATATGCCCAATATTTCTGTACCTGGAATACTCCATTCCTCAACCATGCTGCACACAGAGTTAAAAGCGAGTCTCAAGGCATTTGTCTAAGTAGTTCCATAAAACATCTACATAAAAGAGATAATAAAGCCAGGAAGGAAAATGCTAGATAGGTAATAAATATATCTTGCATAGTGTTAGCCTGTTTGGAATGCAAGCTCTTTCTTTTGAGCTGGATACTAATGGGGATGCATCAACAGCCCCCCCATTCTCTTATGCCTGTACACACTCCTTTTCTTTGCATGGGAATTGGTGTGACTGTCTGCTCAGGCTGGGTGGGCGTAGGTTGGTGAAACCCCATCACCACCTGCACCACCAATGATCCTGAACCAGTTAGAGGTTTTGAAAGAACTGACCTTGACATTATCAAGTAGGTGGAACTTGTCAGAACATGATATCTTTCCTCTTACTCCTTTTCACCCTCCTCTGTTCTCCAAGTGCTTAGTACATTTTTTCATTCCACTTGCCTCCTCTCAGCTATCAGCTGGAGAGGACTTAATACTCTGATTCACCCCAAGATTGACAGCTCATATTTTATCTCTCCCAAAGGAACTTTCTGGATGAGACCCTAAGCCAAAGGTATGGTTGTCTGATAGTGGAATTTAGTCATCAGGGACAGAGCAGAGGAGGAGATGTGGTAAAGGGCTCTTCCTGGTGTTCTGGGAATTATAGAAACCAGATCACTCCATGTGTCCTATGTTTTTTTCTTAAAGTTTTATGTTTTACATTCATTTTGACCTACTTGTTGTATAAGGTGTGAAGTTGAGGTTGATCGTTTTTGTTAAGGATGTTTAATTGGTCCAGTATCATTTGATCTACATGTTATTTATTCCCCTACCAATATCATGCTGTCAGAATTACTATAGCTATATAGTAATCCTTAACATGGGAAAGAGAGGTTCCTTTGTATTTCAAAATTATTTGGGCTCTTTTACCACTTTTCTCTCTTTTTAAAAAAATCTTGACCTGGGGTATTTTTTCCATTGCTTTTGCTTTTTCAGAGAGAGTGAAGGGGAGGGAGGGAGGGAGGGAGGGAGGGGGTTTTTCCATTGGTTTTTCAGAGAGAGTAGAAGAGAGAGAGAGAGAGAGAGAGAGAGAAACAACGATGGGAGAGAGACACAGCGACTGGTTGCCTGATTGCCTTGCACACATGCCTTTGACCGGGAATTGAACCCATGACCCTCTGGGGAGTGGGCCAAGGCTCTGATCCCTGCTCAGGGCTCTTTATGTGAATTCACAAAGAAACTTCTAGGTGAATGTTCATAGCACTGTTATTCAAAATAGCCACAAACCAGAAACTACCGGGATGTCGTTCAGCGGTGAGTGGTTGAATAAGCGGCGGTACATCCATAGCCTGGAATGCTACTCAGGAGTAAAAAAGGAACATATTATCAGTACAGGTAACCACATGAATGAGCCTCAAGGAGATCATGCTGAGTAGGAAAGCCAGCAGTTACATATTGCACTTACATGATATTCTTGAAATAATAAAATTGTAGAGGCGGGAAACAAATTAGTGGTTGCCAGGGGTTAGGGATTGGTGTCTCTATAGAGGGGTAGCATGCGGGAGCTTGGTGGGGAGAGGGCAGGTTAGTATCTTGATTGTAGTAGTAACACATGTGGTGAAATTGCATAGACACGTGCGTGCACACACACGCAGGAATGCTTATAAAACTGGTAAAATCTGAATAAACTCTGTGGGTTGTGCCAATGTACGTATCCTGGTTTCTGATAGAAATGAAAAACATTAACACTGGAGGAAGCTGGGTGAAGGCTTCATGGCACCTCTGTACATTTCTTTTCAGTTTTCTGTGAATCTAATTACAGTGGGGCCTTGACTTACGAGTGTCCCGACTAACAAGTTTTTTGAGATACCAGCTGTCTCTCCGCCGATTTTTTGCATTGAGTTGACAGAGTAATTTGAGTTAATGAGCTCCTTAACGAGCTCGGTCTCGGAACGAATTAAACTCGTAAGTCAAGGCCCCACTGTATTTCAAAAAAAGAAAAAGCTTAAAAAGCACCAAACAGTATTATAGTCTGTTTATGCTCCATCCATAATAGCAGACCTATAGCCCTAGCGGTTCTCTCAGTGGTTAGAGCGGCGGCCCGCAAACTGAAGAGTCGAAGGTTTGATTTTAGTCAAGGGCACGTACCTGGGCTACTGGCTAGACCCCCCACCCGCCACTCCCACCGTGTGTGCAGGAAGCAACCAATTGATGTGTCTCACATCGATGTTTCTCTCTGTTTTTCCCTCTCCCTTCCACTCTCCCTAAAAAAATCAATGGAAAAAATATCCTCAGGTGAGGATTAACAACAACCAAAAAAAACACCTATGAAAATATGGACATGTGGTTGCCTCCGTATAAGGCTTCTTCTTGTTCCGTAACGTTTTCTTTAAAAAGAACAGGACCTGAAACAGATATGACAAAAAGTTAACATTTGTGAATTTGGGATGATGAATTTATTGATGTTTATGTGTTTCTGTCCTTTTTACTGTGTTTAAATTGTCCCAGTATTTAAAAGTAAAATAAACATAAACAAAACTCCCAGTTCTGCCAGGGTCCATCTCTACCTCCACGATACCCCGTTCTGCTCACAGAATTGGTCAGAACACTTCACATTTCGAAGGAAAACCGCCACGCAGTCACAGACCTCTCCCCATGAATTCCTCACTCTGGGTTGGGAAGCCAGGGACGTAATCCATCTTTTTTATTATGACAAACTAATTTAACTTTAATTGCTCATTATAGTATTGCATTATGAGGAGGAACTATCTTTAATTATCTTTTTGGGGGGTTGTTTCTAAAGTAATGTGATCTCGGAGCGGAGACGCATGCGTTCCAGAGTCGCCACCTGACTGTGAGTGTAAAATATTTGTGTGCAACAGTGTAAACAGACGTCGGCTCCCCTGCCCGGCAGAGCCTGCCCTCCCCTTGGAGCAATTAAAGCAATTCCAGGTGGGTGCTTCTTCCCTTCCTGGTTCTGTTTAAAAATGCAAATGGCGTTTCAGAGAGATTTGTTATTTTCCTGGAAAACACCAAGTGAGTGACATAAGAATGGGACCGTGCCTCTCCACTCCTCATTTAAATATTGGCCGTGTCCTTTCGAGATCATTTTTCTTGGTGACACGTTAAACAATCTCGGGTCAGTCGGAGTCCTTAGAGGTCACCACGGGTGTCAGGAATGCAGCCCTAATCACGTCCAAGATAGGCACCCGGAGGCACCCATCAGCGCCTTGGCCCAGAGCCCCATCTTGCTATTCAAGAAAAGGGTATGCTCCTCGTATGTTGTTTGTCAGACGTTCACTGCCTCTGGCCCTCTCAGCCTTCTACATGCAGTGCCACGGTGTGTGCTGCTACCCGCTTTGGGGATGGGGTGCTGTGCAGTGGGCACCCAGAGGATGCCACTGAGTCCGCAGAGAAGTCTTCACGCCACCCTTTGTGGCGGGACAGCCTCCTTCCCGTGGGCAAACCCGGCTGCAGCCCCCGGCTGCCCGGTGGCTTTTGTGTGTGCGAAGCTTTCAGCTCCTGTCCATCAGCTTGAATGGGCCCATTCAGGGGCATTCATGCGCCTCGGAGACCCCGGCCGCCTGGACACAAGAGCTGAGAGGGGCGCTGCACATGAGAATGTGCCCGCTCGGCCTGCCTCCGGGAGCCCCCGATTGTTCGGCGGAGCCTGGGGCCCAGGAGTGCGTCCCGAGGGGTGACTTGGACCAAAATTGGGGACTCATTCCTTCTGTGCACTTGGGGGCTCTGGCAGGGAGGGAAGGCATGTGCGAGCTGGGGCCTGCACCAGCTTATCTTTGACTCTGACCTTCAGCTTTTATCTCTGTGTCCCACCCAGCTGATCCCCTGCTTAAGACCAGGGATCTTGTC